ATCGCTTGAACCTGGAAGGCAGAGGTTGCAGTGGGCCAAGATCACACCAATGCACTCCAGCCTGGTGACAGAGCAAGATTCCATCTCTAAATAAATAAACAGAAAGAAAAAGCAGCATTTACTTATGGAATAAATGTCAACTGAACCTCTCCTGAAAGTTTATCAGAAGTCAGGGTACTCTGGAGATTCTCCCTATCTCCCCCATGGCTATATGGGTTATGTTGTGACATATCCACATATTGCTGCCTGTCTGCTTAATGTTCTTTTCTTTCCTTTAAAATGATTTTTTTTTTTTTTAAATTTCATAGATCTGGGGCTTTGCCATGTCAGCCAGGCTGCTCTTGAACTCCTGGCCTCAAGTGACCCAACCATCTCAGCCTCCCAAAGGCTGGACTTACAGGCATGAGCCACTGAGCCCATCCCAATGTTCTTTTCTTGACCAATCAGATCTTTACACTTTCTACACTCTCTTGAGGCTTCAAAACGCTAATTCTACCCCATGGCATACATTCAGCTTTTGCCCTTGCTGCATGACTATTTCTAGTTTCCAAATTCAGATTCCTAGGAGTGCAAAATGATTGGCCCAGACCATCTTCTTATACCAGGATATAGATTGCTGGCCACCCTGTATGGACTGATTAACTTCTCAAGTGCCCAAATACTTGGCTGTGACAGACGATGGGCAGAGCAGTAAATTTCCTTGAGAACTATAGTTAAATCTCCCAAACAAGATCTGCCTCCTTCCCCCTAGCTTTTTTTTTTTCTGAGATAGGGTCTTGCTCTGTTGCCCAAGGTAGAGTGCAGTGGTACAATCATGGCTCACTGCAGCTTGGAACTCCAGGGCTTAAACAATCCTCCCCACTCAACCTCCTGAGTAGCTGGAACTACAGGTGCATCCCGCCACACCTGGCTAATTATTTTATTTCATAGAAACGGGGTCTCACTATATTGCCCAGTCTGGTCTTGAACTCCCAGGCTCAAGTAATCCTCCAGCCTTGGCCTCCAAAAGTGCTGGAATTACAGGTGTGAGCCACTGGACCCGGCCTCCTTTTCCTTTGAGTTACCTGTGTCTATTAATGATATTGCCATTCTTCCCACAACCTCAGTTGAAATTCTAAAATAATTTTTAAATTCAGATTTAACTTTGTGGAAAAAGTAATGCATGCACATGGTAAAATATTCATAATGTAAGAGTATACAGGTTAGAAATTGTCTCCTTTCTACCAAAGATTCTGAAGACTCTCCTGGAGGCAACCATAGCTAAGTTTTTAAAGTACTCTTCAGAAATATTCTATGTATGTTCAATTTAAATTATTCTCATTTAGATATTATATAACTGGAAGAATATAAACACAATGTGTGCCTTGCTTTTCTTATTTACAATATCTTCGGTCCTAGTCCATGTTAGCACATATAGATTTTTCCTCCTTTTTTTTTTTTGAGACAGGGTCTCCCTCTGTCATCCAGGCTGGAATGTAGTGGTGTGATCATGGGTCACTGCAGCCTTGATCTCCTTGGCTCAAGTGATCCTCCCACCCCAACCTCCCAAGCAGCTGGGACCACAGGCACATGCCACCATGCCCAGCTATTTTCTTTTTATTTTTGTAGAGATGAGGTCTCGCTATGTTGCCCAGGCTGGTTTCAAACTCCTGGGCTCAAGTGATCCTCCTGACTTAGCCTCCCAAAGTGTTGGATTTACAGGTATGAACCACGGTGTCTGGCCTTCAACCTTCTTACCTGTTCTGTAAGAAAGTCACCCCCCCAGTTCTATGAGTTCTTTCAAAGTCTCATTCACTTACATCTTTGTATTTGTATTTGTTACTTTTTTTTTTTGAGACAGAGGCTTGCTCTGATGCCTAGGCTGGAGGGCAGTGGTGCACTCAGCTCACTGCAACCTCTGCCTCCCAGGTTAAAGTGATTCTCCTGCCTCAGCCTCCCAAGTAGCTGGGATTACAGGTACCTGTCACTACTCCTGGATAATTTTTGTATTTTTAGTAGAGATGGGGTTTCCCTATATTGGCCAGGATTGGTCTCAAACTCCTGACCTCAAGTGATCCGCCTGCCTTGGCCTCCCAAAGTGCTGGGATTACAGGTGCGAGACAGGGCACCTGGCCTGTACTTCTTACTTTTATTTTTGTTGCTCCATGTACTGGCTCCTGATATCTCTCATTCCCTTCTCTCTCCTTATTAATTTACAATTTATCAAAAAAGCACCAGATTAATATTTTCCTCATTTCCATAATTTCCTCATTTTGCTCCTATCCTCAGAAACCTCTTATGGCTCCCATGCCTACAGTCTCAACATCTTCCAGACCCTTGACTACTTTGGAGCTTGCCCATCTATACAAATGTTCTACTTCAAACTTCTGCTTTGCCAACTTCATGCTTTTTTATCAATTCTCTTGCCGGGGTGTTCGACTTCCTGTTCAAACCTCTGTGACCACCTCATGCTGACAGCCCAGTCCACAATTCTCTCTCCTCAGAATTGTTAAACTGTATCACTCTTTGACATTTATTAACTTAAAGTAACTAAGAATTTATTGTTTATCCTGTCTCCTGAACTAGATGTTCATTCCTTAGGAGAAAGAGCTACCTCTGAAACATTTTTGTATCTAACACACATAGCATAAATCCTCATATGCTAATATGTTCAAAAACCATCTCTAGATTGAAACAAGACCTAAATGTAAGAAAAAGAAAAAGCTAGCCAGATGCCAAGAAAAGCACTGCTAAACCTTTCCAAAGAGTTGGCCGGGAGCTGTGGCTCACCCCTGTAATCCCAGAACTTTGGGAGGCCGAGGCGGGTGAATCATTTGAGGTCAGGGGTCGAGACTAGCCTGGCCAACATGGTGAAACCCCGTCTCTACTAAAAATTCAAAAAAATTAGCTGGTCATAGTGGTGGGGGCCTGTAATCCCAGCTACTGGGAGGCTGAGGCAGGAGAATCACTTGAACCCAAGAGGCGGAGACTGCAGTGAACCGAGATCAAGCCACTGCACTACAGCCTGGGCAATTGAGCGAGACTCTGTCTCAAAAAAAAAAAAAAAGAAATTCCTGGAGATACTTTACATAAATTTTCCCAAACCTAGCAGCAGATGCCAAAGGTAGCTGGTGATAACTCAAGAAACTCTCAAATGTTGCAAGAGAGAGAAAGAAGCTTGCCAATAAGAGGAAACGTTTAAAAAAAAAGACTAAAAACACCAGCCAAAATAGGACTCAATACCTTAAACTAAGTAATGCTTCTCATCCAACATTATAGCACACTATACTAGACTGTTACACAATTTGTCCAGCATATAATCTTTACCGATCACTGTCTGGTTGGTACATTCTTTTGACATATCAAAAGTGGAGGCACTCCTGATTATCTATTCATTTATCTTCCTACAGTCGAATTTCTCTTCCATTTCTGAGGGTCATCTACAGTGAGCATGATCAAGCCCTGATTCTGGCCTTTTCTCACATCTCATGAAACTTCAGTCTATCTAGTTAAAGTAAAATACACAGACCCTTTTTTCAAATAAAGTTTACCTTAGAAATTAAACTATTCCTTTAAGTGAATTTTTGAAATACAGAGCAAAACTGTATCTCTTTGCATGCACATACATATATAAAGGCATGGGAAAAGATTTGGAAAGACATAACTCAAAGTGCTTCTTTTCTTTCTCTTTCTTTCACGTGAAGTGCTTATTTCTTTTTTCTCTTTTTTTTTTTTTTGAGATGGATTTTCGCTCTTGTTGCCCAGGCTGGAGGGTAATGGTATGATCTTGGCTCAATGCAACCTCAGTCTCCCGAGTTTAAGCGATTCTCCTGCTTTAGCCTCCCGAGTAGCTGGGATTACGGGCATGCACCACCATGCCAGGCTAGTTTTTTGTGTTTTTAGTTGAAATGGGGTTTCTCCAAGACCAGCCTGAGGTCTCGAACCCCTGACCTCAGGTGATAGGCCCGCCTCGGCCTCCCAAAGTGACCAATCCAAAGGGATTAACAGGCGTGAGCCATAGTGTCCGACCTTTTTAGACGGAGTCTCGCTCTGTTGCCCAGGCTGGAGTGCTGCGGCGCCATCTCGGCTCACTGAAATATCCATATCCATTTCCATTTCCCCGGTTCAAGCAATTCTGCCTCAGCCTCCGGAGTAGCTGGGACTACAGGCATGTCCCACCACACCCACCTAATTTTTGAATTTTTGGCAGAGACAGGGTCTGAAGTGCATAGTTCTTGGGTGGATATATTAGTTGGATTACTTTAAGAAAAATATTTTTCTTTTTTTTTTTTTAAGAAGTAAATGAATTGTATCCTGTTACTCACACCTATTTTCTTACCTTTTTTTTTTTTTTAAGACAGGCCTCACTCCCGTCTCCCAGGTTGGATCACCATCACGGCTCACTGCAGCCTCTGCCTCCTGGGTTCAGGTGATCCTCACATCTCAGCCTTTCAAAGTTCTGGAATTACAGGCGTGAGCCACCACGCCCAGCCTACACCTATTTTATTCAACGAGTTTTTCACTAAATTCCATGGTGTTCCTAACTTTTATCTAAGAAAGTATTCTACCACTGATATTTCCTATTATAACCAAATTCCCTGACCACTGTGCTCTGTAAAAAAAAGTTTGTGGGTATAAATGACCTAAGTCAGTTCACAGGTCAAGTTCTTTCAGTTCTGTCACACTGTGAAAGGTCACTGTTGTTAAAGTAAAATAACTTGTGTTCTAGTTACGGCTCTGCTAAGAATATGCTGGGGGATGTCAGAAAGCCATTTTATTTGTAAAATGATGAGTTAGACCAGAATACATTCTCTGACAGAAGTTTACAAGGATGAATAAAGACTTATAGGCCAGGCGCAGTGGCTCACGCCTATAATCTCAACAATTTCAGAAGTCGAGGGGTGAAGATCCCTTGAGCACAGGAGTTCGACATCATTCTGGGCAACCTAGTGAGACCCCCTTCTCTACCAAAAATAAAAATATAAATTAAAAAAATGTATTAGTTGGGCTTGGTGACGTACTGAGGCAGGAGGATCCCTTGAGTCCAGGTGTTCAAGGATGCAGGGAGCCGTGATCATAGCACTGCACTTCAGCCTGGGCGACAGAGCAAGACCTTGGCTGGCTCCATTAAAAAAAAGAAGAAAAAAGAAAAAGATTTATAAAGATTTAATAGATTTACAAAGTCTGTTCTACGGGGGAAAAGTTTCCCATTCATTTCTGAACTGCTGTGAACCTAAAGACAGGAAGACAAATTCCCTTCAGTTCGGCAAACACAAGAGTTCCCACTACCGCATCGTCTGTGAAGAAGGCACTCCGAACCTCAGGCGCTCAGTCGCCAGGTTTTAGAGAATGCGCAAAGAATAAAAGTCTGTTACCCAGGAAGCGTTTCGCTTCCCTTCGCTGGAGCCACGTTCAAGGTGCCAAAGCCTAACTGCTGTCCACTCTCAGCAATGTTAGCAAAATGAGCACCTACCTGCTGCGAACGTGGCGGTGACACTACTACAGTTCCCGGCCTGCCTCCCGCCCGCCCCCGGCCCGTCCCCGCCTGTCCCGGCTCCTGGACTCCACAGGCCGCGACTTGTAGTCCGAGCCTACGGCTGGCGGCGGCGTGGGACTCTTGAAAATTGCTTTTCCTCCTTAGTAGGCGGTGAGACCGCAAATTCCAGCAGAATTCTACTCTCACCGACTAGGACTTGCCCGGCTCAGAGTCGCATTCCCTTCACTGGGCAACCATCTCACCTCCCAATGCTACTCCGACTTCTGAGCACCCCGAACGGGGCCACGCCCCGGAAATGGAGTCAGGTCTCCAGGCCGCCCGCAGAAGCGCCTTCCAGCCACTCCAAGACGGGCTGGGACCCGCGGGGCGGGGTTGGGGGCGTGACCTGGAGGCGGGCGGGGGTGGATCGGCGGGCGCAGCGCTTGGGGCGGAGCCGCAGCGCGAGCCCGCGCATCTGGGTGGCGGCGGGGACGCGCCCGTTGGGAGAGGCGGCTGCGGCTGCGGCTGCTGGCGGGGGGTGGGGGGGGAGGAAGAACCGGGAAGGGGGGGCAGGGCGAGCGGAGAGCTCTGTTCCTGAGGTGGCGGCGGCGGCGGCGGCGGCGGCGTCGTCTACGACGGAGGAGGAGGGCGGGGAAGGAGGATGGAGCAAGCTGGGGGTTGGGGTTGGCGCTAGCCGCAGCGGCTTGTCTCGTACTGTGGGAGAGTGGCGGCTGCTTCTGGAAGTTGTGGTGTCGCGATCCCCGGTGCCGCCGCAGCCGCCGCCTGGGGCGGTGGGAAGGAGGAGGGAGCCGCGGGGCTTGGCGGGGGTCGGGAGGGAGGGACGTGCTGGGGGAGCGAGCTGGGGAAGACGGAGCGGGCTCTGCGCCGGGCGGGCGGGCGGCGGGGGGGCCAGCGACCGCAACCGGGGGGACGCGGGAGGATGGAGCAAGTGGAGATCCTGAGGAAATTCATCCAGAGGGTCCAGGCCATGAAGAGTCCCGACCACAATGGGGAGGACAACTTCGCCCGGGACTTCATGGTGAGTCTCTCCCCTCGCTGTCGCCCTGTCTCGCCGGCGCCGGAGCCCATCACTGTCTCTCCCGGCCCGGCCGCCAGTGCTTTGTGTACCTCTGTGAGGAGAGCGGCGGAGGGGGCGCGCACCAACCCGGCGGTACGGGTGGACTCGGAAGCCGGCGGGAGGCGAGACCTTCTCCTTCCCTCGGCCTCCTTTCTTCTCCCGTGTTCGCGACCCACGCGCGGGCGCCCGGGACGCGAAGGGAGCGGCCGCGCGGCCGAGCCCGCAGCCTGCACCGCGGCTCGCGACCACCTATTGTTTACCCGGTCGGGAGCCGGAGGCTAGTGAGGTGCAGGCCGGCGGGACGGAGGGGGCTCGCGTTTCCACACCTCCCCGCCCAGTCCGCTCCTCCCTGGAGGGTCGAGGCAGGATCTGGCTGTGACCCGGAGGAGTGCAGATCGCGACTGACAGAGGGACAGGGGACGGGGGGATTGAGGTTAGCACTAATTCCTGGGGTCCCTTTGCTCCAGCTGGTCTCAAAGCGGGCGAAGTAGGACTTCTGTTTCTGGCGGTGCAGTCATGATCTCCAACGCTTGGGAAAGGATTGTCCATAAGGAATCTCATGGGTTTACCTAATTTGCATTTACCCGCGTCTTCTCTCCTGAGACCCAGGTTTGAAGTGGTCTTGGGGGTCCGAGTGACTCTAGGTTCAGGGAGTAAGTGTGGGTGGGGGGGATTATCCTGAAGGAAGCTGATTTCGGACTCCCCAGGGGATGTTGCCGAAGGCGGAGGGGATGTGACTATCACTTCCTATCCGGGGTGGGGGTGGGGAACTTGGGAACAATAGTCCTGGTGGGGCGGAGGCAACGCTAAGGGCCGAAGCCCTGAACTGGGAGATAACCTTCCCGGTGCCCCCCCTCGCTCCGCCGCCCCCCACTTTCCGCCCTCTGCTTGTGCAAGCAGGCTTGAGAGGAGGTGAAGGTTAAAAGTCTTATTCGTGAAATTGGTCTAGATAACGCTGTTGCTCCAGCTCACTATGAGGGGGTCAGATCCGAAGGCGTGGGACCAGAAGTCGACTTCCTACATTATCGACCCCCCACCCCCGCCTCTTTTATTTTCTGCTGGACACTGTTCCCTCTAGGGTTGTTTCCCGGCTTAGGAGGCGGTGGTTGCGGCTGCTGCTCCTACGGATATTGCGCAAGACTGGGGCGTTGGAAACCCTGTAGGTCTGGGGAATGGAAAAGGAAGTGGGACTTTGGGAAGTGGTTGCTCCTTAGCCTTGGTGGGGATTGGGAATAGGAAAACAGCTAGGGAAAATTTTTATTCTGGATAAGATAAACCTCCAAGAATAATGACTTAACTCTGAAATTGGATTATGAAAAGGATACACAGTTAATATCTTTAAAATGAATGGGCAGCAAACATTGGCTAGTTTTTATTTAAAAGTGCAGTAGTTTTTATGGTACAGGTGATATGACTTAGTAGTGAAATACTTTTTCACGTTTTAAAGAGATTTCGGTCTAGTAAAGCTTTAGCGTTAAATTTTTAACAGCTTATAAAATAGGTCCTTGACCTTAACACTATATTATAGTAGTAGTATCGTTGAGCTTTGTGATTCCTGCATCCCCAGACCAATAATAGAGGATGGAAGTAAAGTTCTCTCAGTATCTTTTGAAGATTGAAAATAAAAGTTAAATAATCTAACTTATTCCTTATTAAAAATAAAAATATTCCTTATATTTAAACATTTGCTGTTGATATTTACCGTACTTTTGAAAAATTACTTTTTGATCTGAAAGGGTTAAGAGGGCATTTTCCCTTTTTACTGTTGAGAGTTTTTCATTGCGTTGATATCTTTTGAATGGTGTCATTTATGGTAATTGGATGGCATCCCCTTTTTTACCACTTTCTAAAACGTTGGTTTGTTTTTTTTTGAGAGGGGGGTCTCATTCTGCGCTCTGCGACTCAGGCTGGTGTGCGGTGGTACAATCTCAGCTCACTGAAACCTCCGCCACCCAGGTTCAAGCATTCTCCTGCCTCAGCCTCCCAGGTAGCTGTGATTACAGGTGGCAAGTCACCATGCCTCGCTAATTTTTGTATTTTAGTAGAGATGGTGTTTAGCCATAATGGCCAGGCTGGTCTCAAACTCCTGATCTCAAGTGATCCACCTGCCTTGGCCATCCAAAGTACTTGGATTACAGGCATGAGCTACCACACCTGGCCTAAAACTAGTATTTTACCATCTTATTTTGGTTATGGAAGAAGAGATGATGTGGTCCCTGGTCATTTCTTGTTTGCATGCTAGTTATCTTGTTATCCCTAGGCATATCCTATCAGGAAGGAGCATTGTTTGGTGATGCAGGCCATCAGGACAGGTGCCCAGCCTCTGAACTCCTATACTGGGGAAGTAGCCTTAGGGTTCATGCTTTGTGGATGAGTCAGGGATTCCTATTGGAGAGTTCATTTTTTTTTTTGAGAAGGAGTCTCACACTGTGTCACCCAGGCTGGAGTGCAGTGGTGCAACCTCGGCTTGTCTGCCTCCTGGGTTCAAGGGATTCTCCTGCCTCAGCTTCCTGAGTAGCTGAGATTATGCACTCGCCATCATGCCTGGCTAATTTTTGTATTTTTAGGGGAGACAGGATTTCACCATATTGGCTAGGCTGGTCTCAAACTCCTGATCCGCCCTCCTTGGTCTCCCAAATTGCTAGAATTACAGTCCACCACTCCCGGCCGAGAGTTCATTTCTCAAACACTAAATGAGTTTCTTTTTTTTCCCATAATACCTAGGTATAGCTAGGTGATTCTACATTGGAGATTTGATGACTAAAGCTATTCTTTTATAGGGCTTGTTTTTTTTTTGTTGTTTTTTTTTTTTTTTTAATTTTCTGGCTTGATAAGCAATAGCTGTAATTAAGGCTGCTGGTAGTTGGTGCTGCTTTTTCCCCTGACTGGAAGACTCGAGAGGAACTATGTTCCTCTGGCACGGAAAGAGGGAAAAAAAGATCAGCTGATAGATTCTAACTATTCTTAAATTCTGATGTGGATTAGAAATGCATTTTAAAATCTTGACATTTTATGACTGAGCCTTAGAGATAATGTAGCTGATATAACTATCCCATTTATAAAGTAATAATGTTTATTCCAAATTTGGAAATTAATAGAGTACTAATAATGCCTATGCTTAGACCACAGTTTGAATGAACACTCCACTTCCCTGACTCCAGTACGATGCTCTTTACACTCTATCTAGCCGTCCTATGGTGTCATCATTCAAAGGCTGCCTCTTAATTTTTTGTTGTTGTGTTTTTGAGATGGTGTCTCACTCTGTTACCCAGGCTGGAGTGCATTACTGTGGTCCTGGCTGACTGCAGCATCAGCCTCCCTGGGCTCAGGTGATCCTCTCACCTCAGTCTTCAGAGTAGTTGGGACTATCTGGAGCCCACGTCACCAAGCCCATCTAATTTTTGTGTTTTTTGTAGAGACAGGGTTTCCCTATGTTGCCCATGCTGGTCTTGAACTCCTGGGCTCAAGCAATCCATCTGCCTTAGCCTCAAAGTGCTGGAGTTACAGGTGTGAGCCACCATGGCTGGCCTACTACCTGGTGACTATCTTATATCTTAATTCTGTTTCTTTATGGTTGAGTATTTAGGCCATTCTACTTTCAGTTGTTACATATAATAATTCTGTGATTAACATTTATGCTGAAACTTTTACGTTTTTCACTGTTGTATAAGATAGCTTCCCAGTATTACTAGGTAGAAGTATATAAACATTTAATACATGTTCATAAACTTGAAAAAGTTTTGTCAATTTATACAAGTCAGTAATGTATGAATGTTCATATAATTATCTTGATCTTTATTTGATGGTTGAAAACTGGTATCTTTGAATTTCTTGATTACTATTGAGGGTAGAAATTTTCCACTTGCCATTAACTACTCTGTGAGGGTCTACTCCTGGCGTTGGCTGCGCCCCATACTGTGAAAGAGGTGACAACTAAGGTACCCAGATTGTGTAAAATTGTCTTGGCCAGATGGTTGTTTGCATGTTGAAAACATGTTAATTTGTGGCTGATCCAGAACTTGATTTTAATTATCTCTACTTTTAGTATTTGCAAAATGAGAGATAAAGGTGTAAAGTAGGGTGGTGCACATTCATGTCTGACAGACACCTGGTGTTATTCCCTAGACTCCCTCTGATGGCTGGGGGTTGGGGGGGGTGGTCCTGGACCATATTTTGAGAACCACTGGGCTAATACATGGTAAATGATAAAGGTTATACTGGGAAAGTTAGGTAGAGGTCTT